AAGAAATATGTATTTTCCAGACCCCTTGTCATACAGAGAGGCTAAGGGATGGATCACTAACAGGGTGGTAGGCAAAATTAAGGATCATGGGATGGAATGCTGACGCCAAAGTGACAAAAAACCAATGTTCTGGAATCAGACCCTTCTGTGATTTAACAAGTACACACAGTCTTAAATGGTAATGAAGTTAGTTAATTAATCTCCTGAATTGATAGTGAGCACATTTAGTTTAGCTCTGTATTAAGTTAGGTAACAACAATCTCAATTTCTTATTAGAGCTGTTTCTATCATAAGAAATGGCAGCAATGTTTGCTTGCATATTACTCTGCTGAGGAATTTGATGAACACATTTTGTTTGTTTTTTTTAAAAGCACAATGTCCCCCTGTGTCCTGACACTGTATCCTTAGTCAAAACGACGGTGTATATCCCAGTATGCTGTTTTACCTTCAATGTCCTGGGTTTCAATTTTCAAATGAAAGTTACAAACTTCCTCTGAGGTACTCGTTTTGTGAACCACCGTTGTTACCTACGTTGGGAAAAGTGAATAAGAAGATTCTGTCTCATGTGGGAAAGAGAGGTGCTGTGGCCACACCGCTGCAGTCCCTGGGAAGCTTCCAGGGGGCTGTCATCCAGGACAAATCCTGTCCATTCACGACCTTTCCCCCGGAAGTCGGATTGCTGCAAACCCAACAATCTGAAACACAGCTGAGAACCGCAGAAGAAGCCCAAAGTGACCTCTGGCCAAGCAGAACCTCGATCCAAAGGCTGTATAGGCAGCTGTGAGCACTTTACAAGAAAACTCCCCAGGCGCGGCCAGAGTCGGTGTGCTCTCATTTTACACAGAACACCACAACGCCAGGAAGCCTGGCTTTCCTGAAGCTCTCCCAGGGTACACAGCAGGTTGCCTGTGTGCGCGCAGGGCTGCTCCCACAGGCAGGCAGACATACTGAGAGACAGAAAAGTCTCAGAAACTTGAGCAAACACCCACCCCTGGCAATCTGACCCAAAGGTCCGTGAAGGAATTACTGTATCAAAACAAAGGATGTCACTGAAATGACCAGTTATTCCATCGTCATAATTCACTCTTGAAGAATACAAGAACTACATGCACAGTTGAGGAAACCTTGCAACTCTTCCCTCAAACTTGCCAAATGGCTAAAACAGAAGAAACATTAGTTCTTGAACACCACTCTCAGTGATGCCGGTTAAATGAAACACGGCTCTGCCATTAATCCTAAGAGCATATGTGCATGCGTCTATGTAGACACAGTTTGTATGTATACAGACACATGTAGCCCCAAACTATGCATACACACATGTCTATAATTATACATCTCATTTCTACAAATACATGGAATGCAAATAGACAAAGATTAATATAACCATTTTCAAGAAAAAATCATAAGGAGAGTTACCAAGATAACCAGGAGGAATTAGACAAATCAATTTTCCTTTCGATAGGATTACCCAAGCCCTGATTTCTGTGATTTCATGGCAAATTCTCTGTTCCATTGCAACTGCCCTTAATAAAAACACTTACATGAACTGTAGCCAAGCCACTGCTATAGCCCGTACTGACGACAAGGTCATCGTTGAGAGGCACCTGGAAAGGTAGATGGAGAAACCACGTGTTTGCATCATCTGATGGAGAGGCAGGAACAGCAGTGAAGAGAGTCTTCCGGTACTTCCTAGCCACCTCTCTCAGAGCTCTCCTTATGGAGGGTAAGCGGACCAGCCACTGAAGAGCCTATGTTCAGAAAGCCCAGTCCAAACCTGCTGCCAGGGAGCCAATTCCAACTTCTAGCCACCCTGTCAGGCAGAGTAGAACTGCCACACAGGCGTCTTCCCAGGCCTGTACATCTTTCTGAAAGCAGATTGCCGAATCTTTCTCCCACACAGTGGCTGATGGGTTCGTACTGCGGACATCACCAGGGCTCCCTCTTTTGCACTTGGACTCCGTCACGTGGGGCCACCACGCGTTGGAATTGCCTCAACCACACCCAACACCAATATGGCACCGTTGGGGCTTCCTCTCTTATTGCCACCTCTCAGGTGTCTAGCTCAAGTATCAGCATCGTGTGTGCCAAAGGAGATGGTTCTCATTAGCACCAGAGCTGGGCACTTGAACTTTACGGTTCAGTAGGTGAAAACTACGCTGGGCTCTCTTTTACGAGCCCTTTACACTCTACTACCACCGCCTGCTGGCTCAGATTTCCACTTTCCATCTGGCTCTGTTTGTCCACCCCTCTAGCACCCCACCCAAGCCTGCCAAATTCGAGGGGCTGCTTCTCTTCCTACCGGTTCTGCCAGGAGGGAAAGGAGGAGATGAAATGAGGGGACTATTCCTGCCAAAGAAGCGCTAACTGTTCTGGAGGGTGTGGAATGCACAGGGGATCGTTTTGAGAAAAGGGTCTAGGAGTTAGTTCTTTGCTCCTCAGAAACCACAACGCTTTTCCCCTTTACTTGACATTCTTGCGCACGAGGGGTTATATTTGTTCAAAAGATTGTCAGCCCACCCTCCAAAGGGTAACACGGGAACGTTCTTGTTCTTTCTGGTGGAATACCACAGCATTCACTGGAAAGCGAAGGCCCTGGTTTAATGCACAGGGAAAGCGTTCTATGGACCAGTGCGCCTGGGAAAATGTGGTACATGGTGCTGTGTCACTCCACCCCACTCCTCCTCGGAGTCATCACAAAGAATTTGTTTAACTTCATTTAAATAAGTGTTTCCCATACTTCATTGACTACCTAACATTGTTTCCAATGTAATATGCTTTAGGACAATGTAAAGCATTTTAGAAAATTTACAGAATTCCAAACTAGAATCAATCAGCCAAGACTTTACATGAAGGCAGTACCACAGAGTGAGGTGGTGTAGTGGGGTATGCATTGGGCTGCTTACTACAAGGTCAATGGTTCAAAACCAACAGCAGCTCTGAGGGAGAAGGATGAGGCTTCCTCCTCCCATAAGGAGTGACAGTCTCAGAAACCCACAGAGGCAGTTCTACTCTGTCCTATAGGGTCACCCTGAGCCAGAATTGACTCGATGGCAGTGAGCTTGCATTTCTTTTTGAAGGTTTCATTTTGAAAAGAGGCACCTTCCGGAGTTACCCGTTTGGGAGAGTAACTGCAGCCACCTCAAACGGGCTGCCACGCTCCTCAGGCCAAGAACTCTTCACTTGTGCTCAGACCTTTGGTATAGAGTTCAGATCGCCATTGGTGTTGAAATGTCCCCCTTCAAGGAGAAACATTACTAAAGTGGGGCTCACAAACACAAGTGCCTGCAGAAGTCCCCATATAAAGCAAGTGTGGACATCCGGTGTCTGTGGGGGCTGTGGCTCACTGAAGATCTTTTGACAGATGTGTTGGTTTTTCAAGAAGAGTTGAAAATCTGATTTTTACCACTGTTGTAAAATATTTGAATATATCTCAATGCCACATGGCCCAACTCATAACCTACTCCTCCACCAGGTATAGCAAAGAACATGAGATAAGGAGTTCGTGACCTAATGGCCAATTCCAACTCTGTAACTGTCTGCACCGGTGACTGGGGTCATTTGGAACTACTGGCAAATTCCTAAGCACGTCTTTTTACTTATTCTACTGCTGTACCTTTACACACGCTGTTCTCTATTTGTAGAATGTTCTCCATTTTTCTTCTCCAGGCTGACTTAACTCTGATTCTTCTAGATTTAACTCAAGCAGCAGGACACCTTTGCCACGCTCCCTCTCATCCACTTGTGTCAGGATGTCCTCCTCCGGGTTTCCATGATGTTATTTTCTACTGCCTGTTTACCTGGCCCCCAGTAGATAGCTTCTCTGCTTGGCTTTGAATCTCCACTGCCTAGAGCATGGCCAAGGGTCCCTGGCGGTGTAGTGGGTCACTCTTTGGGCTGTTCACCTGGAGATCAGTTTAAGTCCAGCAGGCACTCCTTGGGAGAAAGACCAGGCTTTCAGCTACTGTAAGATTACAGCCTGGGAAACTCAAAGGAGGGGAAGTCTAGGTCTCCATAGGTTTTAAGTCTGAATCAACTCAATGGTAGTGAGTTCATTTTGAGGACATGGCAGGTGCCACTTGGGGCATAGCAAACCTTCAATCTAAGTTTAAGTGGCACGTAAATACATTTTGAGGGGGAAAGTTGATGTATTCCAAGGTCCCTTTCAGTTATAAAATATTGTGAAACGCTGCTCACTTACCTCTATTGGCTTTCCAAGGAAATGTTTGTCTGTCATCTTGTAATGGTAGATATCGCCATGGTTCTTGTAAGAAACAGTAACATCCATATCCAAGCGGAGCTGCTTCACTAGAAGTGAGTATTCTGTCAGGCCTTCGATGGCGTTAATTGTATCCTGTCAACAGTCCAAAAAGCCCCCAAATTTATTTAGCTTATATGAACCCTGTCTATTTAAAAATGTGTTTTCTTATGAAAGGGTGGGGGCAATGGCTGAGTGAAACTGGTTAAGGGATCCAGGGGGGGCAGGTTAGAAGGGAGGGACCTTTCTCCTCAGTGAGGACACAGGCGCCAATGGACTACAAGGACAAAGACACATGCGTGGGGCGTAGGGACAGGAAAGGTGGCTCATTTCCAGGCTTTCTGTAGCCTGGGTGTCACTTCAGGGACATCACCTTTGTCAGAGCTAGCTCCTCATCTTCTGGTCTCAGAGTAAATATTTCCACTCAAAGACTTCCTATTAGTTTCTGTTTGACTGATCTCCTTCTGTGCTTCATAGCATCCTTCACAATTTTACATCACTTTATGGTTTATTTTTGGCCTCCCCCATTGTAGGATCAGACTCATAGGTCCAGGTAGCATATCTTTCCTGGCACCTGTTATGTTTTCAGCACCTTGCCCACAGTAGCTAGTCAATAAGTTCCATGAAAAAGAAGAACGTAAAAAAAAAAAAAGAAAAAGAAGAACGTATCTTTCTGAATGGCATATTCTTCATCTATGAAGCAGAGAAGTCTGAACAGATGAGAAATGGCAAATATGTGACCATCCCTGTGCCTGGGTCCACGGTAGTCATTGTTCACCACTGAGAACTCTTTCCCACTGAGATAGTTTATTGTGCCAGCCTGGCTGATAAACACAAGTGGGATTAACTGAAGGGCAGAGAGATAAATGGCTTGGTGAGCCTCGCCTTTCTTGTCTCTCACTCTGTGATCATCGGACCAGTGTGCAGCTGCCTTGCTTGTTCTGTGCCTCAATTTAAAGGCTACACTACCTGTGGGAGGCCTAGCCTGTGGACTGTGTCGCTGTAAGTTGAAGTCCCTTTAAGACATCTCTGGAGCTGGGGACTGGCGGTTGGTGACCTGCCTTGTGATTGGCTGTTGTGCTGACATAGCCTAGCTCTCTCTACAAATAGAGGAAGATCTGGCAGCAGACTAGACTTGAAGGACTGCTAGTCTCTCACAACTCTCTCTCATGGACGTGAGTTGCACTGAGCCATTTGTAGTGCTTTATAATTTAACTGTTTATTTCTTGTATTATATATTTATCTGTATATGATTTAACAATTCATTTCTTGTTATATATCTAATTATCTTTATAAATAAATATATTAATTTATCAGCAATTTGGTTTTATCTCTCTAGAGAACCCTGTCTAACACACCCACTAAGCTTTCAGTTATACCAAGATGAAACCCATTTGCCTTTGACCAGATCAGATGGTCAGTAAAGTGATCCTGAAGGGCCCCTAGCTCTATATCTCATATAAGTGGAGACACCTAGCCCATCACTACCTAAGATCTAGAACACAGGAAAGATGTTCACATTTGAGCAAATTTTAAATGTAGATGTGAGCAAGGAGCCTTCAAAAAGTGTGTAGAAAGTGAAATTTTTAAAAATGTACTTTTCTCCAGCTCTCTGAAACCCCCTCATACTATACAATGACACACAATAATAGCTATAACATAAATTTATATAATTACACAAATTTACATTAGGAGATCAATAGTAGAGACTCAACAGTAAGACTTTTTCTTGTTTTGTTTTACATGGAAAACATCTGTGCCTCTGTGTACACGGCAGCTACAGTGTATTATGTGAGCAAGACAAACGTGCTGCTAACCTTGTGGCCTCGCTTGCATAGTCATTAAAAATCCACTGGGTGGGCGTCAGGAACCATGAGTTCTCATGTTGGCCGTGCCAGTAACTCTCTGAATGAACTTCTCTGAGCTTATTCCTTTCTCTGTATAACGAGGGGGAGCAAGACAAGGCTGTCTACTCTCATAAAGAATTACGGTCTCTGAAACTCACAGGGATAGATCCTGTTCTACAGGGTTGCTGTGAATCAGCATTGACTTGATGGCAGTGAGATGTTTTTGGTATAATGAGAGTGCCCATGCAGACCCCCTGAGGGGCCTTTGATGCTAAGCATTTATCCCTATGCATCCATAGTACGCGCCTTTGGGGAGCGAGAGCGTGGTGGCCCGAATGAGTGTGGAATGCATGGGTGGGAAACAGCAAAAGTAGATAGAGATGTTACCTGGGTAGAATAAAAGCCGCCTCCGTACCTCTGCTCTTCAGATAACCATTTGATGACTGGGTTAACATAATTCATCTCCTTCAAGGCCAGGCTGGTGAGTAAAGCATAGGCAGTGGTTTCTACAATATGGGCTGTACCAGTGCTAGGTATGGAGCTGTCTTTGTGCTTAAGCTCGTCTCTCCAGAAACGATAAATGGGTGGATTGCCTGAACATTAATACAACGGATTTGTTAATATGATTAAAAATCAGAATTTGACATACAATTCTAGTAGGTATATCATAGCCTTCAGGTTTCTAGAGGTTTCTTAGCCCTTGTAACTTCCTCAGGGTAACTAATACAAACCAAGATTTCATAATACAGCGCTATTTGTCTTTGTTTTTTTAAATAGTTTATTGGCAAATAATTCACACATAACACAATACAGTAGTTCATATCAAGAAGAGTTGTGCAATCATCACCACAATCAATTTTAGAACATTTTTTCTTTCTTGTAGCCTTTATTGTTAGCTTTCCATTTCCCCCCAACGTCCCCTATCATGTCTCTAAGTAATTGTTAATCCAGTTATGGTCTTTATAGATTTACCATCTTTGTAAATACAGAAAAGCATAGAAAACAAAAACAAGAAAAGAAATACCAATAACAATGACAAAATAAAACAGAGTAAAACCTCAATAGAAAAGAAAGCAGAAAATATTAAAAACTGGAAGAAATTGAAAATGGGTCAAAAAGGAGACCAAATGATAAGATATTACATTTTAACCTAACTCCATCCTCAGCATGTTCTAAGGAGAAGTGGAGTGGAAAGTCTCATAAAGTGGGAATTATCAGGCTCAGGATCTACGACTAAGTCATCAAGTCACCTTGGACAAGTCCTTGAGTTGTGTGGGATTCTCTTCCCTAAAACCTAAGCTGAAAACAATACTTGTTTTCCTTGTAGTAAAACTCAAATGACATACAAAATATGATCCTTTGTAAACAATGAAGTACCATATCTCTCAACTTTCACCGCCAACGAGTTGATTCTGACTTACAGTGACCTGATGAGTCCTAGGGCACAGTACAACTCCCCTGTGGGTTTCTGAGGTTTGGAAGCCCTTCATTTAATCTTTCACTATCTCCTCCTAATCTAGAATACAAAAGACAACTTCAAATATATAGCACCTTTAACAATTTAGGAGGAGACCTGGGATTATAGTGGTTACACATTGGGCGGCTAAATGCAAGGTCAGCAGCTCAAAACCACCAGCTGCTTCAAGAAAGAAAAATGGGCTTTCTACTCCCCTAAAGAATTACAGTCTCCAAAATGTGCAGGGGCTGTTCTGTGCGGTCCTACAGGGTCGAAAAGAGTTGGCATGAGCTCGATGGCAGTGAGTTTAGTTTGAGTTTTTCACAACTTATGTTCTAAATGATATCTAAGTTTCTCTTCTGGCTCTTAAATTCTTCACTTTATGCTCCATAGCTTATAATCCATGTATTTACAAGTATTATACAAGTGGCTTAGAAATATGTGCTAAAATTTAGTCATTTTAAAATGCTGGCAGATAGCAAATTTTGCAGATGGTTATGAAAGTCATGTGAAATTTATAAGACTTAAAAAAAAAATCTTAGCCTAGAGATGGTTCAGAAATGCCCAGCCATGACTGTGCTGGCCAGGCTCGCCAGTCAGTGATCACTGCTATTCTCCTTCTCGTTTTCTATTCTTGTATAGAAAGCAGTAGCCTTATTCTTCAAAATGAAACACACACCTTGATAGCAAACCCGATGGGAAACAAGCCAGGCCGTGCACTCCTTTGCCTAAAATTCTCAAATGGATTCTCCCTCTTGGTCAAAGTAGAAGTCAAAGTTCTAGGGCTCCTCCTGACCCATTGTGTACCTCTAGGTGAACAGGCAGCATCCTTTACTCTGGGTGGAGGTAGCCCTAAATCAGAGTGCATGGCTGGGCTACATTTAAGCTTCGTGCACCTACTTGCTTTGGTGCCTTGTGGCAGAGTTCCTACAATGACCTGCAGGGCATGGCAAAAGCCACCCCCTAATTCCTCACCCTTTCCTTCTCTGACCTCACTTCCTGCTCTCCAGCCACTCTGACCTCCTTGCCATTCGTGAGGTACTAGGTTCACTGTTGGCTCAAAGCTTTTGCACGAACTCACTCTGCCCAGAGCACTCTTCTTCCAGGGTCTCGCCATCCTCAGGTCTTGGCTCCAATACCATTTTCCCAGTGGTATTTTCTCACCTTATCTAAAATCACAACTCCATCTCCCTTCTTGGCTCTATTTTTCTTCATATCAGTCACCACAGCTTATTCTCTCTCGATATATATAGTGTTTTACTTATTTATCTGGCTTGTATGCCTCTCTCTAGTTGATTATAACTTTGGGTGTGTGTGTGGTTCTGGATTGTTAGCTGGCTTATCATCCAAACCTAGAACCGTGCTTGGTATACAGGAAGTGCTCAATGAATATTTGTTGAATAAAGAAATGAACACATATTTCATGTTAAAAAATACATAGCAGTGGTTATTTATGATATGTTGTGATGATCTGTTCATAGCAGTTTTAATTTTGCTCCTGGAAAGCAGGGGCAGGTTCTTGTTGACTTTCTGCACCATCACCCCCGTCCCAGATTCAGCGAGCTCAGTATACTTAGTGTCTGCACAAAGTATGGAGAGAGGCCTACCTTTCACGAAGGCCTCCTTCTTCAGGGCTTCAGCAATGATACGGAATTGCCTGTAGGCTGTATCTCCCAAGGAAAGAGCATATGCTGCAATAGCTAGTGTAAAGGTGCTTTGGGCCGGGAGTGTATTTTCAAGCAAAAAGCTTTCAGCTTTTGTAAGAGCTGTGCTGATTTTCTGGAAATAAGAGCAGAAGAAACCTGAGTTTCTTTGGCAAACATCAGCCCGTCAACTGACTGAAATCACTTACAGATGGCACAATCAGCGTGGCAAGAGTGAGGGAGAGATGGCCAACCTAATGGGAATGCATGGAATCTCTCTGAAGCACAGCCTTCCAAGAGAAGAGGCAGAGCATGGTCTCTGAGGGGAAAATGTGGTCATCCAAAGAGGGTGGACCTTTGACCACTGAGTCCTCACCTCCCCTTTGGAGCTCCCCCCCTCCCCCACCTTTAGTTTCTGCTTCCAACATCACATCTAACCTCCAGGAAGAGAGAACACTGGGCCTGGACCGGCTTTCTTCATCTCCCTCTGCAAAGCTGGGCCTGCCTCACCACTTCAAAAGGAGCTTTACTAAAAATAACATCAATAGCAATAAGAAAGCCAAGCTTCCAAAGTACTTTATGATTCCAAGAACTCCAGGAAAAACAGTCCCTACTTTCCTATGCTGAGAGATCTAGGAATAGTTGTCTTGGCTAAGTGGATTAGGAAGAACACTTATGTTAGCTCTTCCAGCTTCACATGTGTCTCGTAGTCGTGTGCTCCTTGAGTCCCCTGGGAACTGGCTCTCTTTGACTCTCTTGCCTTAGGAGCATGCCTACCAATTCCCTTGAAATAAATAGCAACCAAAACAAAGGGTTTTATCGTGCCGTTTAAGCCCTGCCAGTCTCAGTTCTGTCTGTTTGAAGAACATGCCCAAATGACTTCTGATTTGCAAGAAGATCTATTTAACCTCCAGGAACACTGGTGGCACAGTGGGGTAAGCATTGGGCTGCTAAGCACAGGTAGGTGGTTCAGGGCCAGCAGTCTCTCTGAGGGAGAAAGATGAGGCTATCTGTTCCCTTGAAACGTCATCGTCTCGGTGACCCTACAGGGGCAATTCTACTATGTCCTACAGACTCGACTCACGACGAGTCAGAATAGTCTTCCCGGCTCACAACAACCACAGCACCGTTCATCTCAGCCCAGGGATTGAATTCCTCCCAGGTGAGAGTATTATTTCCATTCACCTTTGGAACCTGGTAGGCGGATTCACCTAGGGGAACCTTCTCCTTTCACCCCTCAGCTTCCAAAATCAAACCAAACAACACAACTCATCTTGCTAGCATGTGTCATTTACAGGCTCATAATATACTGTAATATGCATCCATAGGATAGGAACAGACACAGGGTGATGCTGGGCAGAGATGAGGGGGTGGGTAGGGGAAATGAGAATACTAGGCCATTCTTTCATCACAAATGGTCAGGTGCTATCAATTCTAGTCTCAGCTTTGCCTGTGACATTGGACCACTAAATTCACCAGACTTATTATCAGTCTAGTTTCCTCAACGGCCCATGAGTAGTTTGGTCTCTAATTTCTCTCACAGTTATGACATCCTTTGATTCCAGAGTTAAAGCTATTTTCAAGTCACATGAAAAGAAAAAGCAGCTTTGGAAATGAAGTACTCTCTGGTTCTTAGGACCCCACCAGACGTGGACGTTGGGTGTTAGAGAAGGAAAATGTTTACTTACCATCAGGGGGCATATATCAAAAGCCTTTCTAATACCAATCACAGAGAAGGCTGTTAGATATAAGGCCTTTTGTTGGGCTTCAACAGGCAAGGTACCCTAGAATAAGGAATGTTTTCAAAGAAGAGTAAAAATGGGGTCTTGCAAGTGAAACGAGCTGTTCCTAATCTCCCATGTTAGCCTTCTTCCCCTCCTTCCCTTCATGCAGCGCTCTTTCGCAGACAAGCTCTGCGCCTCGCTTGCTTGGATGCCCTCATGTGCCCCCTCTTCTAGCCTTACACCCTACTGCTCACCACATTCAAATTCCCCTCCTCCTTCAAGGTCATTTTTAAATGCCGCCTCCTCTGTGACACCATAGCTGGTCTCTGAAAACCCATATTTCTTCCTTCTTATGGAAATGCTTAGAAGAAGTCCACAAAGTGGCCTCTATTGACCTCTCCAGATTCATTGCACTCCACTCAGGCCCCAGCTCTCGCCCCAGTTCTCTGAGGGAACCACGCTCTCTCTGCTTCAACACGCCAGGCATGCGGTTTGCTCTGCTTGCGACACCGACTTCTCTCAGAAGCCTGGACGCATTTTTCCCACTCCCACCATCTAGATTAGATCCTTTCCTTTCAATGCAAGCAGACTTTCCTTTTCTTTAACATGCACCACACATTTGAAATCACTTGCTCAATGGCTGACTTCCCTGCTAGATTGGAAGCTCTGTGGCTGCAGTGACCACAGCTGTTTTGTTTTTGCCATTGTGTCCCTAGCATCCACTTAGTGCATATTCAATAAACACTACTGAATGGAGAATTAAAGCACACACACACACACACACACACACACACACACACACCTGTATTTCACGTTTAGAAATACAGGTAGTAATATGCACTTTCCTACCGATGGCTGATGTGGGAGTTCCTGGTGGCAGGAACACTATCTAGTCCAACCTTCCCCTACCAACCTTCACTGTACACGTGCTCCTCACCTGTAATTTTTTTTAATCACTTTATTGGGGCTCATACAATTCATCACAATACATAGATCAATTGTATAAAACACATCTATACCTTTGTTGCCCTCATTATTCCCAAAATTCGCTTGCCTCTTGGGTTCCCGGAATCAGCTCATTTTCCTTTTTTTCCCCCTCCCCTTC